TCATCCCCTCAACCAGGCTGGCCAGGCACCCCAGTGGGGACCCCCACCCTGATCCAGGACACCCTTCAGGGCAAACCAGCCGGCACCCACCCGTGCACCAGGCCTCTAACCTATATAGTAAAAGGGTAATATGCCTCCCAGCACTAGGATCAGCGGAGCCGCGAGGCCTCCCGGCAATGGGATCAGCGTGACAGGGGGCAGCGCCCAAACCCCCTGATTGCCCTGCGGCTCTGTGTGTGACAGGGGGCGGGGCCACAACCTCCCTATCCACCCTGCTCTGTTCATGACAGGGGAAGGCGCCCCAACCCCCTGATCAGCCCTGCTCTGTGCCTGATAGGGGGGAGCTCCCCCACCCCCTGATCGCCCTGCGGCTCTGTGTGTGACAGGGTGCGGCGCCCCCCACCCCCCACCACCACCACCACGGGTCCTGCTCTGTGTGTGACGGGGTAGAGCCATAACCTTCCCATCGGCTCTGCCCTGAGTGTGAGAGTGGCGGCGCCCCAACCTCCTGATCGGCTCTGCTCTGTGGGTGACAGAGGGTGGCACCCCAACCCCCTGATGGGCCCTGCTCTGTGCGTGACAGGGGGCAACGCCCCAACCCCCCTGATTGGCCCTGCTCTGTGCGTGACACGGGGTGGCGCCGCAACCTCCCGATCGATCGCCCTGCTCTGTGCATGACAGGGGGCGCCGCCCCAACTCCCCAATCGGCCCTGCTCTGAGCCCGACCAGGGGCTGCACCTAGGGACTGGGCCTGCCCTCTGCCACCCGGGAGCAGGCCTAAGCGCAGGCCTAAGCCAGCAGGTCGTTATCTCCCGAGGGGTCCCAGACTGCGAGAGGGCACAGGCCGGGCTGAGGGACCCCCCTCCCCCCGAGTGCACAAATTTTTGTGCACTGGGCCTCTAGTTAATAATAAAGAATCAACACTTATTCATGTTTAGAGGAAGCATGCTGCCAAAGAACTAAATCTAAAATTTGGGAGAATGATGATCCTATCCAAACTCAACATGTATTAAATCCTTTCTTCTAGTGCAACAGCAAAAACCTCTCCCAAACTAGTTTAAGTACAAAGGTTACCAATTGGCTCATGCAACTGGGAAGCCCAGGTATAAATTTGGCTTCAAGCACAACTGGATATAGAAACCCCAGTGAAGTCACCAGGCTTCTCTCTAGTCCTTGGCTCTACTTCTCTATGTGATGTTCTCATTCTCTCCTACTACATACAGGTGTCTTCAGTGGGCAGGGAGAATGGCCAGCAGCAATTACTGATTCACATTCTCATGGCTGATGACTCTAGGATAAGACATATGCCATACTAGCGGCATTTATAAATCCAATTGCCTTAGTTTGGGTACCCAAAACGAAAACTCTAGCCAATAGGATGGAATTCTCTCATAGGCTAGGCCTAGGTCACATGCTGATCCCTGTGTCTATAAGTAGGGGGTGATATTGGAAATCAGAAGAACTACGTATGTAAGAGAAACTGGAACAACAACAACAACAACAAAATGCTGATACAGTCTTCTCCTTCTCACATGCAGCAATAAAAACATATCTTCCTTCCCATATATAGTTCACAAACTGCTTTAATTTAACATAATTCAACTTTCCCACACTCAACTGAAAACATACCACTAGCTCTCCAGTGGAAGACAACACAAAGACACACATCGTTTCTACATCCTGTGTGAACCATATTTCTAAGTGATTTGCATTCTTCCCAATCAGACCTGGAAAACAGGATGGGCAGCCAAGGACAGCCAGATCAGTGTCTTTGCAACTTAATGCAATGGAAAATCCATATATTCTGTCCTAAGCCCAAGGAAACTCTATTAGTCTCCCTCTCCAATTTAAACTGAAATTACCAGAAGGCAAGTTACATAAAAGTGTCCAACTGTTAAAAGACGAATTTTCAACCCTTAGAGAGGCACAAACTAAAACAGAAATACCACATTATCTATTGCTCAGAAAAAATGAAATGTAGTTTCTAGGTTCTTAAAAACAAAAAAATCAATTAACCAGGAAATTTAAGAGATTCATGTCACATTTCAGGAATTAACAATGACTGTCAATAAGACTTCCTAAAGTTTATTTTCAGCTATTACAAGGATTACAACTGCTTTCTGTCTTGAAGGGACTCAGTTGTATAATACGTTAAAATGCCAATTACGTTTGACTACTATTGATTTATTCAGACACTGTCTGCCCTGTGGGAAACACATAAACTTTTAGCCTTCACACATGATAACACTGGGAAAATATCAGCAACAACCCCTTGTTGCCAGTGCTGGTTACTTTCTTATAGTAAATGACCCTGCATCTGTCTTCCTGGTTTGTGGGTTTATGAAAGAATTATTATTTGACAGAAGTGTTGCTGAAGGGTATAACAATGATAAATTGGATCTCCACTTACACTGAGAATCTTGGGCTGTGTACAAATAAAAGTCAAAGCAGAATATTTTTTGAATAATTGGGAATCACATACATGAATAAATTTGGATATGGAAGATGTAATCACAGATGGAAGAAGCCCAGATTCATTAGACAAGTTGCCTTAAGAGAAAATACAATCATAGCTAAACATTAAATCTGTTGCTTAAAATGTTAAGGTTTTTAAGCAAAATAGGCTTTTAAACTCAAGGCAATCACTTGGTTCTTTGCTCACACTGTTTTTTTTTGTGTGTGTTTTTAAATCTTTATAGTTGAAAGTATTACATATGTCCCCTTTTTCCCACCCATTGACCTCCTCCAACCTGCCCCCGCCTCCTACCCCAGACCTTCACCACCCTATTGTCTGTGTGCATGGGCCATGCATATATGCATACAAGGTCTTTGGTTGATTATCTTCCACTCATCCATCCTCCCCCCCGCCTCCCCTCCGAGATTCTGCAATCCGTTCCATGCTTCCATGTCTCTGGATCCACTCTGTTCATCAGTTTATTTTGTTAATTAGATTCCACTTATGAGTGAGATCATGTGATATTTGTCTTTCTCTGACTAACTTATTTCACTTAGCATGATACTCTCCAGGTCCCTCCATGCTGTCTCCAAGGGTAAGAGATTCTTCTTTTTTACTGCTGCATAGTATTCCATGGTATAAATGTACCACGGCTTTTTTTATTCATTCATCTACTGATGGGCACTTGGGCTATTTCCAGATCTTAGCTATTGTAAATTGGCTCACACTATTTTGAATGGATTTGTGTGAAAACTGGAGAAGACTACAAAAAGGTGGACAAACAATTATGAGTGATCGGTTCTATTTTTTTTTTAATAGATTTTATTAATTTTTTTACAGAGAGGAAGGGAGATGAACAGAGAGTCAGAAACATCGATGAGAGAGAAACATCGAACAGCTGCTTCCTGCACACTCCCTACTGGGGATGTGCCTGCAACCAAGGTACATGCCCTTGACCAGAATCGAACCTGGGACCCTTCAGTCCACAGGCTGATGCTCTATCCACTGAGCCAAACCAGTTAGGGCCAGTTCTATTTTCTGACCTTTTGTGATTAACCATAAAGGGCAGGGGCCCTGTTAGGATGCCAAAAAAGTTTAATTGACCTAAGTGAAATGAGAATAATGTCCCCTACCTTGTAAATTTCCCATTCAGGGTTTTGAATACCATACTTCCAGCTTAGAATTTTGAAGAGGAATGTTTCTTTCTGTTTTTTTTTTTTTTTTTAAATGGTCTTAAATGAAAATCTTTGTCTTAGATTATAATGGCTACAATCTCAGATACTTCATGTTTTATGTAAAACTAGAGGCCCAGTGCATGAATTGATGCACCAGTGGGATCCCTCGGACTGGCCTGTGGGATCAGGCCGAAACTGGCTCTCCGACATCCCCCGAGGGGTCTCGGATTGCGAGAGGGTGCAGGCCAGGCTGAGGGACCCCACCAATGCATGATCAGGGTTGGGGAGGGACGCAGGAGGTTGGCCAGCAGGGGAGAGACCGTGGGAGGGCTCCAGGGCGTGTCCAGCCCGTCTTGCTCAGTCCCCATAGGCAGGATCCCAGCAGCAAGCTAACCTACCAGTCGGAGCATCTGCCCCCTGGTGGTCAGTGCACATCATAGCAAGCAGTTGAGCGGCCTTAGCATATCATTAGCATATTACGCTTTGATTGGTTGAACAGACGACCGGACACTTAGCCTATTAGGCTTTTATTATATAGGATGGGCAAGATTTGGAGTAGCTCAAGTGTTCATTAGTAGATGAGTGGATAAAAAAGCTGTGGAACAACTAAACAATGGGATACTACTCGGCCATAAAAAAGGAAGGAAATCTTGCTCTTTGTGCTAGCGAGAGTATTATGCTAAGTGAAATTAGCCAGTCAGAGAAAGACGAATGCCATATAATTTCACATACATGTGGAATCTAATGAACAAAATAAACTAACAATCAAAATAGAAACAGGCTATAGATACAGAGAACAGACTGACAGCTGTCAGAGGGGAAGGAGGTCACAGGGCTTGGTGGAAAAGGTGAAGGGATTAAGCAAACACGCAAACACACACACGCAAGCACACACGCACATACTCACAGACAGACAACAGTATGGTGATTACCAAAGGGAAAGAGTAGGGGGAGGCTGAAGAGGATATAGGCGGGATGGATACATGGTGATGGAAGGCGACTTGATTTGGTGTGGTGAACACACAATACAATATACACATGATGAATTATAGAATTGTACCCCTGAGACCTATACAATTTTAACCAACCCCAGTAAGTCAGTAAAAAAAGAAAAAGTGACACAGTTCTTTTTAAAGGAGCTGTCAAGGGAGCTCAACAGCCAAAGGGGAAATGACTAGGCAGGGCTTCCAAAGGTAGCTTCTGAGTGTCCACCTGGGAACGGGAAGGACGCAGCCAGGTGGGGTGGAGGGAGCGGAAGCCTGTCCCACCTGCGCGCAGGGAACTTTTCTGGACCTTAAACCCTGTGAAAGCAAGAGCCTCCCATGTGATCCCCAGGTTTGGCGCCAGACTCTTCCTCGTATTGCTCTTACCTCGGCTGCTGGTGCATGTATTGCAGGAAGAGGGGAGCGTGCGCGCTGGGGAGGATGAGTTCGGTGCAAGCTTTGAAAGTGTCAGACTCCAGCTATATTTCATAAAGCCAGGCACTGCCTAGGGAGGCGGGGTCGGACCTAGGTCTTCCTTTACCCTGTCCCCCGGCACAGTGCAAAGGTCCCCAACGCTTTCCTGCCCCACATTTCTGAGAGCCATGGGACGTCCCCACTCAGTTCGCGCGGCCATACTGAACGCCAGGGGCAGCAGCCTCCGCGCTGAGGACTCCGCACTCCGGGATCTTCACAGTCGGCCCCTCCCAGGAGTTCTCCAGGGTTCTCATCAGTCGGCCCGCGGCGAGCCCCGGCGTTCACCTGGGAGGAGTCGACCTCTGCCGACTCTACCAACTGAATAGCGTAGGGGTGGGGCGGCTAAACATGCTGGGATGAAGGTCATAAAACGGAAAGTGAAACTCCCGTAAATAACAAATAAAGCCCTATTGTCATTTTAAACGTGTCTCGGGGCTTCTATCTCCTCAGAGAAGTAGGCACTTCCATCTTCCAAGCGAAAACCGACTCAGGGCTCCCCTGGTGTCTGGCGCGCTCGGCCTTGGTCTCTCCCGCGCCGGGCGACCCCGGGGTCACGTGCTCCCCCTGTCCTTCTGGAGGAACGTGCAGGCAGCCTGCGGTCGGCACAGCCGAGCCATGGCAGCCCTTCTGAGACCCGCCCGCTGGCTCCTCCGCGCCGGGGCGGCCCCGCGCCTCCCGCTCTCCCTGCGCCTCCTCGCCGGCGGCCCAGGCCGGCCGCACGCCGCCCGCTGTCAGCCCGCAGCTCTCACCGCGCCGGTCCCCGGGTGAGTGCCCCGCACTCCCCGCAGCCCGCCTGCAGTTCGGGCGTCTTCCGGGTGATCAGTCGTGGACCCTGGAGGGGCATGGTCCCTCCTGCCCCCTCTCCGTGCCCACTCGCCGCTCCAGGGCTGAACATCCCGGGGCATCGGACCATGCTCCCTACAGGGATTTTCGGGTGATGGGGTTGGTCGCCTTCAGAAGGTCATGGCCGCGGGCATGGCTTGTTTCCGGTTAGGATCATGTCCTCGGGCTACCTCCGGCCTACGAAGCCGAGGCGGGCTGTGAAGGCTGCTGCGAGGGTCGGCTGTTACTCTCCTTAGGATTAACCAGCTAGGGCTGTCCCTTGGGCACGCATTATTGGCGATCAGTAACCAGCTAGGACTTCGATTTTGAGTTTTATTTCGGGGGGCGGAGGGGGAGTATAGGTGGGGAGTTTTGAATGAGCCTAGGGATAGCTTAGAGATGGTCATTTAATTATGATCAGTTTGGGATTTTGCTTGAATTTCCTAGTATTTATGAGATTGTGGTATGGGCTGGGAGTTGTCACCGTAGGCTCGGTAAGTGGCGATGAATGAATAAATGAACACATGCAAGGCACTCCGTGGGGACTCCAAAGGCAAGTTAAATTCTCAGTGGGTGTCAAATGTGTGAGTAAATGCCCTCATGGATTGAAGTTTATCAAGAGATAGGTTTGGTGTTAGACTTTTGGGGGTGGGGGTGGGGACTAAGGAAGCCTGATGAAAGTGTTCCTTTGAATAGTATTCCTGACCACTGAGAAGGGGAGATGGCCACTGAGGTTTTAGAATTGGGGAAAAGCTGACTTTGAAAGACCAGTGTTTAAAGGTATTTTGGGAGACAGCATAAGAACTAAGACTGAGCTAAGGATCTGTAATAGGCCCGGGCTGGACTGCTGACCTCTGTTTATGTGCCTAGTGCCATTAGACAAGTTCCTTAATATCTTCAGCCAGGCCTATTTCCTTAGGTATAAAGTGGGAGTAGTGTTGGTAGTGGAGCCTGGTACCTAGTAAGTGCTTTATTAGTTACTATAGTAATAAGTATGATTACATGGATTTTTGTGCACCGGCCTGGAAACCGGCTTTCTGCATGAAATTAAATGGAGGAAATGTTTTATGACTGTTTAACAACTTAGTTATAAATCTTGGGAATGTAGCCTACTTGTAGCCTGGAGCCTGCCTGGATTTTCTCATTAGGCCTCAGCCGTTGACCTTCTTGCCTCTGCTTTCGCAGAACTACATCTTTTGGCTTTCAGTGTTCTTCTGACAATGAAACTTATGCCAGTTACTCTTATTTGTCTAGTCCTTAACATCCCTTGAAGGGTCTATCGTTCATCATCACTGTTGCATTTGAGGGACACAACAGCGTGAACACAATCTAGTAGAAAGGGTGTCCTATATAATAATCCTATATAATAAAAGCATAATTTGCTAAGTGTCTGATGAATCTGGTCGACCGCTCGACCAGTCGCTATGATGTGCACTGACCACCAGGGGGCAGACGCTCCGACTGGTAGGTTAGTTTGCTGCTGGGGTCCAGCCGATGGGGACTGGGCGAGAGGGCCGGACACGCCCTGGAGCCCTCCCACGGCCCCACCCCAGCCGGAGGGCCCCAATGGGCCCCTATCAGGGTCAGCTGGCCATCCTCTCATGGTCCCTCCCTGGCGGCCAACCAACCTCCCACAGTCCCTCCCCGGCCAGCTGGCCCCCATCTGCCCCCAATTGCCTGACAGGCCAAGGGGCCCCACCCATGCACGAATTCGTGCACTGCGCCTCTAGTTCTATTATAGAAGGTCTGGGTGTTCATCAGACCTGGGTTCCATTTACTTGCTGCAAAATCTTAACCTCTTTTATCCTCGGTCTCATCTGTAAATTAGAGGTAACAGGTCTTTCCTGCTTCTTTGTAAAGTTAAGTTCTTGTCATTTAGGACTCAACTTAAATGCTATTTCTTTAGAGAAGCCTTATGTCAACACTCTAAAACAGGGGTTCTCAACCTGTGGGTCGCGACCCCTTTGGTGGTCGAACGACCCTTTCATAGGGGTCGCCTAAGACCATCCTGCACATCAGATATTTACATTACGATTCATAACAGTAGCAACATTACAGTTATGAAGTAGCAACGAAAATAATTTTATGGTTGGGTCACAACATGAGGAACTGTATTTAAAGGGCCAGAAGGTTGAGAACCACTGCTCTAAAAACTACCGTATTTTAGTTTTATCATGGCATATCTCACTTGTCTGATATTACTTGTTTATCTTTTCTCTATTTTCTTAGAAAATAAGTTGCGTGAGAGCAGAACTTTGTCTTATTCACCACTGTGTGCTCAGCAAGTAAAGAAGTATTTGTCCCCTTATTCTCCTGGGCACTAAACCCTTTTTCTATGCAATCTTCTATCCCTCAGCCTCTAAGCATGCCTAGGTCTTTCCCACCTGAAAGACAAAACTTTTCCCAGGACTCTAGACTTATTCTAGATCAGCAGTTCTCAACCTGTGGGTCGCAACCCCTTTGGGGGTCGAACGACCTCGAACAACCCTTTAACAGGTGTCGCCTAAGATCATCGGAAAACACATATAATTACATATTGTTTTTGTGATTAATCACTATGCTTTAATTATGTTCAATTTGTAACAATGAAATTGGGGGTCACCACAACATGAGGAACTGTTCTAAAGGGTCGCGGCATTAGGAAGGTTGAGAACCACTGCTCTAGATGCTTCCCAACCTCTCTTCCCTGTCTACTCCCATCCTGCATTTCCTCACTTTGCATCCACTCATCTACCCACTGCAGTCACCTCTGCAAAAGCCATCCTTGTCTTGTTTATTACCTTTTTTATCGTATATATTTAAATTATAAAACTCATGAGGAACAATTGCAAAATGCAGGGGAAAAGCAGTAAACTAAAAATCATCCTAATTCTATAACCCAGAAAGATCCATTGATATATATAACTCCTTCGAGTCACTTATGTATGTGTGAGATGATCCATGTTCAAGGCCTTGCTCTCTGGCATATTACTCTGTCTCCCGTTTTGCCTGCGTTAGACCCTTTTCTTGGCATCGGTGACATTACTCTTTCTTGTCTTTAGAATTTTTCTCACTGGCTTTGGTGCTTCCTTTTTCCTCTGTTTATCTCTTAAATGTTGATGTTTTGGGGGGTTTTGTCCTTCGTCCTTTGCTTTTTAATTTTTTATCCCCTTTGGATGACCTCTTCCATTTTCAGGGTATCAGCCCCTACCTACCTGATGATGGCATGATTTCTCTTCCTGTACATAGACTATGTACTAGACATCATGATTGAACTACAGGTACTTCAGATCCATCACATCTCATATTGGACTAGTCTTTCTTCCCAAATCTGTTCTTGTGTGTTCTGTGCTTTTGTGAATATTGCTATTGCTGTTTCCTCATGATTTCTCATTCATATTTCATTGACACCTCCCCCACACCCATGTGTTGACTCCACAGTGATTAAGTCTTATTAGATCTACTTCATATGGAATGAATCTGTTTCTCCAACTCCCATATCATTCCCTAGTCTCCTTGATAATCTGATCATGTCATTTTATTACTTACAGTCAGACACTGTGGTGACTCCCATTAGTTCCAGGATAAGGTGCTCCATGATCTGGAGATGTTGGAGCCTCACTTCTTATGAGTTCTTTCCCATGGCATCCTATATTCTAACCATACCAAACTACTATTTTGAAGTCTACAGGGTTTCTGAAACTATAATGAGTATAAGAATTTTCTGGGGATATTGTTAAAAATGTAGGTTTTGCCCTAGCCTGTTTGGCTCAGTGGATAGAGCGGCAGCCTGCGGACTGAAGGGTCCTGGGTTTGAATCCAGTCAAGGAAGGGCACATGCTCAGGTTACAAGCTCGCTCCCCAGTATGGGGCGTGCAGGATGCAGCCAGTCAGTGATTCCTTCACATCATTGATGTTTCTCTCTCTCCCTCTCCCTTCCTCTCTGAAATCAATAAAAATATATTTTAAAAAAATTTAAGAAGTAGGTTTGGATTTTATAAATCTAGGCAGGGGACTGAGATTCTGCATTTCTAACAGGCCCCCAAATGATAAAAATGCTGGTCTGTGGACCAGCAAGGCTCTGGTGGGCCATGCTGCATATCTGCTTACTTTTGAATATAATGTTCACTCTTGAGATATGTCTCCCTTCCCCCCTACTCAAATGTTCCCCTTCTTTGTTAAATCTTTCTTGTACTTTCTCTCATAGCCAGACTCACTAAAGTATCCATTAACATGATTGCATGTGTGACCACCAACATTCCAGACCTGGCTGTAAGTTCCTTGAAGGCAGGAACTTTGTTTTATTTTTTTTGGCCTTGAGTTGAGGATATCAATGAAAATCTTAGACATTGAGTAAGGAATATTGTGAGATGCAAAGAAGTTTGGGCCCATTAGCCCATTCATATAGTGTAGTTAAT